GGGTTTAGGGGTTTAGGGTGGGAAAGGTCCATCTTCTTGTGCGATCTTTGATGTTCTTTCGTTCCTCTCAGACTCCAACCCTGGCGGGCTCTCTACTGTAAGGGGCCCAACAGTGGATGCATACAGATTTCTCGAATAGACAATCAAATCAAAAGGCTAATGGAAAATGAAACTCAAAGTGCGGCTCCATAGGGCTTTCTTAGCCTCAAAGCTGTTGGAGGACCACACTGGACGGGCGAACTTGAGGGCCAAAGGCTGAACCACAGCGCCTAGCAACTTGGCCTTGAACCCCAAACTCCGCAACAGTCACATTAAATCGCAAAACCTGAAACATCCTTAAACCCTAGCTCCCCAAAATACCCACATACCTTGAACCCCTGCCTGTACTCGCTGCTCGTGCTTCATGGAGCCGTCCAACCGAACAAAGGGCAAATTTCGGCGACTCAGCTCCTTAGGGCTTCACTTACTGGGGGTTCGCAGGGAATTATGAAATAGATTAGATTTTTTATATGGGAGATCATATTCCCGTCTTCCCTACTAAACACCAGTCTCCTTAGGGCTTAAGGTTTATGGTCTGCCGCATTGAATGGTCAACGCAGCATCGCAAGGTTCTACACCCGGAGTTCACTACATTTGCGGAAAACTTACTGGTGGTTAGTAGCGAATAATGGAATCTAATTCCAATATAATATATACCCCAATTCCCTACTAACCCCGAATAAGTTTAGGCTTTGGGGAGGGGGGCGGAATATCTTTTTGCCTGAACAACTCGTGCGATTGTGGCCGTTGCGCTCTCCGTGCAGCAAAATGTCCGTCTGAACAAGATTGAGCACGCTGGTGAACTGCGAGAACACGACCGCCTGCCGAGGCAGAACTGCCAGGGTCCAAGGACCAAAATAGTCGGAATTTAGGGCCCAAATACCACTAATATTGTGCTATTTCGGTCCTAAAACCCTATTATCTGGGTTCTTGGACCCTTAGGGTCTGACACAACACGTGCCTGCTGTCCCTAGCAGCCTACAGGACTGTCCACCTGCACACATGCTAGTTCCCCAAAATAAGGGGACCGCAACATAGACCCCGACCCTCCTAAAAGGACCCCTGATTTTGGGAAACCCCCACTTACAACTGGCCTTGTCTGAGCTAAGCGGCGTTAAGGAGCTTACGGCGTTTCATCTCCTGCTCACCCAATCTATAAAGTGGCTAAACCCAACATGCCGAGCTTTTCGAGCAAATGGGAGGCTGTCAGAACTGAAAGTGCCCATGTCTGACTAGCGACCACTAGCAATGCAGTTTGCTGTCAAAACTTGTGGAAAGCCTAGGAGAAAGCGCAAGTGCTGCAAGAATTGTCGGCGAAGCCTTGTGCGGCTTCTGCAAGTGTTCGTCGTTCCTAAGTGTTGAGAAGACATGGGAGTTTCACAGAGTGAGACAACACACAGTATGTCTGGATTGCAGGTGGGTGTGTAGCAGTCCCTCCGAAGTCGCCACGAACAGTCACTGACAGCCACTGCAGCTTTCCAACGGCTTGGCTCTCAGATTTGGCATAAGGATCCAGACCACTTTGGAGCTACATAGCCTATATTGATGTAGACTCATCATGAGACTGCACAAGCAGTGCCTGCTTTTGACCCCTTCAAGCCATCGAAAGCTTGTTTTTTTGCAAGGAGTCCCAGGTACCACGTAGTGTAAGCGCTTCTTTCTTAAAGAAACTCGCCTCTCTCGATGACGCGGCAGGGCATGGTGTTGATATGAGGACGCCCAAAAGTGACCATCACATTAAGATGTCCTCGAATTATGTCCCTGATACAAACACATAAACAGATTTCAATCGGCACATGTGTTATGCATTTGCTGCCAGGATAGAGTGTCAGGGACGAGCCACTTCTTCACCACGTTGTTTTCCAGGAATGCCAGAACCGCCTGTTGGAGCACATCTCTCGAGAGCAGGGTGCATAGGTTCCCTGGCTTGGGCTCTGCAAGGTTAGGGCTTAGTGGCCAACGGCCAGAGCATTTTTCTCAAGGCCATGCAGTCTAAGCAAGTCTCCCCGCCATCAAATCACTTCCGTCAACCAGATACCGACCGCTACCTACTAGCCAACATAGTACGAATTCCAGATGCCAACCTCTACTTACTACCCAACATAATGCGAATTCCACCCCCCTCCCCCCTGCAGGCAGCAAAGGACAAACTGGAATTCCATACCTGGAGCTGGTCATTGGAATCTCAGAGCAACACCTTCCTTAGACACTTCATGCTACAACTCCCATGACTGTCACTCAAAATTGCCACATGCTAAACCACAACACATACATACACAAAACGATAATAGTGCTTCGAATACGATTTCGGAAGTGGCTTGCACTTCTGCATAGTTCTACCATATAGGTCTACAAGACATGTTATTGACTTGAACTGTAGTGATAGCTGTGAACGGCTCCTGTTTTTCGCCTGCTCCGAAACGCTGCGGCTTTAAACCTAAACTGCAAACCATTGTGAATCCTGACCGTACTGGAAATGGCCACGCGTTCAGGACCCAATAGAGGTGGCGCAAGGTTTCCTCCACGAACAACTGATGTAGCGGCCTAAGTATTTTGGGAAGCGTGTTTCTCTACATAATCATAAACGGATTCTGGACAAGGTTTTTGTTCGTAGGTTTGCGGGCCTTAATCTTGGCGCTTGCGCCAGCAGGGATGCTGCCGTCATCGTCGCCCTCCACCACCTCCAACTCCTTGGCGTTTTGAAGTTGGGGGTTTGGGGGTTTCGTGGTGGGTTCTTTTTTCTATCATGGATCTTGGGTGCTGTTTTTTTTTTGTTTTGGGGGGGTCGTGAAGTCGCGGCCTTCAAAGGCTCCGGAGTGCAGGCTGAAGAGGTGCAGGGTCTTAGGCTTAGACATTTTGACTGCAGGGTTTTCAGTGATTGAGGATTTGTGGGCATTGCTGCTTAACTCCTTGGAGTTTTGGCTTGAGGGCTATTTAAGTCTAGTGTCGGGGATTTGGAAGTTTTCAGTGGGAGGCACCATCTGGTGTGTCGGACTTTGGGGCTTCAACGCAAACACGGCTATTTGCGGCAAGAAAGGAATCCCTTTTACAAACCGTGTGGCCAAGCGTGGTGAACCGTAAGGTCAAGAACCAGTTAACACCCTGAATTAATGACATACTTTCTCTTCAAAAGTACCGAGCCTACCCCACTACAGTTCGTTCCAAACCCGGGCATCATCGTTCGCGGCTTATCCCCAAATGGGCCCCGAGAAGATCCCTGCTCATTGACAATCAACAAAGCTGGCCTCACATTTACATCCAGCAATGCAAGCTCTAAACCCCAAACCCTAAA